TTCAAAACCTTATGAGACTCTGTTATTGGCAGTTATCTAGTGGTGCCCTCCAGAAGTGGAAACACTTCTGAACATTAAAGGAGGTTTCAGTCTGCTAAAAGTTAAAAAAAGCCTGTTATGCTTTTCTGTACACTGTGTTTGCTTGAACAACAGTTGCTGCATGCTGGAGGGAGATGTATGACTTCACCAAGTGAGGTGGAACTCAGAATGCATGGGACAGAGTTTCCATTTAAGTCACCTGAGCACAGCTGTCCATAGCTTGTTAGACTCCTAGCTTAGACTGATTTCAGTAAGACTTAGGCACTAATGCTTTTGAAGATGTTGGCCTTTTCTGTATCTCTCCTTTTCCTCATGCAAAAGAAATGTTAAATACACAATGATGTTTTAATGGCCTTTGCTCTTCAATCAATGAATGGGAAGCATTAAAAATGTGTTTGTGATTTCAGTTCTGAAGGTAAGGTGCACGTGGTGGCAGCAATTTCAAAACAGCCCTGGAGGAGACAGGCAACGACTAAATGCCACTTCCTTCTCCACTTTGTGTTCAATGACCAGCAGAGGACTTACAGAAATACTAGGCCTAGAACCACATCTCCTACAGTGCATGTGCAGCCTTGCACACAGCCAGAACCTGCTGCTGCCACTGCTGATACTGAAATGTGCAGTGCTATCATCTCTTTTTGTGATGACAGTGCCTGTTCAAACTAAGTTGGGAAGCTCTGCCATAAACTGGTAGCATTTACAGCTAAATGACTGCTGGGCAGGCTGAACCCTATTAAGAAATAAATCTGTATATCTCTCATTGAAACATTTTAATCCAACTAGAAGAATAAAACCTTCAGCTACCAAACATGGTACAAAAGCAAAATCTCAGTGCTATAGGCAGGATTATGCTAAAATTTGGCACAGAGACAATTTATATGACACCTCTATCAAGTGTCATTCATGTTCTCTACCTGCTAATTTTTGTATTGTGATATTCTTCCTAATTTTCATAGTATAGAAGAGACTTCTAAACTGCTCCTTTAGCTAAATGTTCTGTTGATCAAAGAATGTGAGAGATAATGCTATCAGCAGCAAGAGAAAAAGACTTTTGCAAAGTAATTCTTTCATTCCCATATCAGGTTTCTAATTTCTAAAGTAGAGGGAATAGAACCAGTGGCAGAGAGCTGCAGGGATTTATTCCCCATCTTTACTTGCCTAAAATGCTATACCATATTTATTACTTTCATAAATATGAAGTAATAAATACGGTATATGGTGCAAGATGTATTAATATTTATTGAATACATCTTTCATGTAAAAGAAAGATGTATAATAAAGTTGTTTCTCCCAGCATCAATTATTTTTAGGGTAACTAGATTAAACAAGTCAGCTGTGCTATTATATCCTCAACTTTTCAGGTTCTTTCATCAAGTTCCAGGGCTATGGGCTTAGCAGAGAGTTTTCCTTTTCTTCTGAGGCTCCATTTTTAGTAGATGGCATTTGCATTTTTCTGTAGAATCACTCTTATCACATCTGGAATCAATGTAGTGGCACTTTCTGTCTATGCAGTTCCGGCAGCAAACTAGGTTTTTACTGTAAAAAAAAGAGCCCAGTAACTAAGCCCAAATATAAAGGATACAGGAAAACTGACAGTTCTAAACTGGATTTTATTTTCATCTTTTTATAAAATTTGTGATTCTTTCCTAATCTTAAGCCAAGGTGTGGGGTGCCACCACAAAGGACAAGTCTATCTATCTCCACTTTTTCAGTGATCCTATTTATTTATAAATAGACCAGTTCCCTGGTCCAGTTACCATGCTGGCTGGCAACACATATCCAGGACACTGGGAATGGCAAATTATCCCCTCCAGCAGCAGCCTGTATTTGCATTGCCTTAAAGTGATGGTGTATCTGTGGAACTGGGAACACAGCCACACACTTTCACTGGAAGTCCCTTATTATTCACAACAGAAGAATGTTTATGTGTAGACAATAAATCTTGAGCCAGTACTAGGAATACCACTCATTTCCCTTATAAAGTAAGAGAGCTACATTAAATGACAAGCTCAGTCTTTCCTATATGTGAGCTTGATGAGGATTTTATATTCTAAGCTTCAAAAGAAATTCTTCGGCCAATTTGCTAGATTTTGGGAAATTTCGTTAACATTTGTAATTCTGCTTTGCACAAATTTATTATCAGCACATTATTTTAATTAATTGGAAATTAAGTACATGACATGAATGTCCTGAAGGGATAAATCTCCTGAGCCTATTATAACACCTATCCAGCCCTCGTCTACTTGCCTCATCTACTGGCTGTTCTGTTTCAAAACCCGGCTGTTTTATTTGGCCCCAGTTCATGGAAATTTTATTCCCTTCAAGAGACCTGTTAATGCTTTAAGTGAAAAATGCCCTTGAGCTCTCTTCTCAGAAGGACTGGTTATGACATGTGCTCTCCTGAGCTGGAGCCTTCCAACTGCCCAATGGCGACCTGTGTCAGCAGCTCAGGCATAGAAGAGCTCTGCAGGCAGACCACCGACACAGAGGCTCCTGCTTCAGGTTTTAGCTAGTCTGCTGACTAAAGGAAATGTTTGCATAAATTGCCAGTAAGTCTTGTCTTGTTTTGGACTGAACTGGCAATATAGGCACACCAAATGAATGTAATTTGAAGAAAAAAAAACACCACAGCAAAGCCTAGAATGCCTATATCAAACATTTGGTTCAGGCTTGCTTCCTGGCTCCGACAGTTACCAGTAGTAGGCACAATGGGAAAGTATAAAAGCGAGGCAGTGTGTGGCCATCTGTGCCCAGAAAAGTCTCTGAGCCTCCAGCAATTTGTGGGTCGGGAAGTTGTGGAATTGTGCAGCGATGCCAAAAATTTAGCCTGTTTTTTCTGTTAAAGCAGTATCTTCTCTGAGAGCTCTTTTTGTATTCCTCTCAGTAGGACCTACTCCTATAAATTCTCCAGCAAGTTATTGGATATGCTTAAAAAAGGTCTACTATTTGTCCCTTTATCTTTTGCAAACTGTTCCTCGTGCTCTTTTTGGTTCCTTTATTATCTCTTTAGACTTAACCTGCAGAATTTATAATCCTATTTTCCTCATATGGACATGATGCCAGCTTTCTGAAGGATGCTTGCAAAATGCAGGCAGTCCAAGAGAGAGGAAATCCTACCTCCTGTGAGATAAAAAAAAGAACAAGCAAACGAAAACAACAACAACAACAAACCAGTCACAGTTTTAATGAACTTTTTATCAAACCTGATTATTTAAATGAAAATCAAACACCAGTAATGTTTAGTGGATGCCTGGGTGAGCATGATGAATGTATCTGGCAGACACAATGCTGTTGGGTGTTACATCCCTGAGGTCCTACCTACTGACACTGTGATTAAACCAAAGACACAGAATTTAATATTGTACAACCTGCTGATTAACAGTCTTGCTGTTATTTGTGCATCATCTTGGGACAACGCTCCAGGACAATTCCAACTTTTAGCTTTGTTATTTGCTAACAGAAGGTGACAAAGCCTGATTTGCCACAGCAAGTTGGCAAGCAACCAGACTGTCCAGCAAACGATTTTGCCTCTTGTTGGAAGTAACAACTCTGTCATTACCTGAAACGATTTGTGGGAGAGGGGGCTGTACCATTACGATTTCGATATAAAAACGTACAAGTATTGTATTCTTAGGCATCGTTCTATTGTTTCCCATTTTTTATTTGAATATAGTTGCATATTCACTTGTAAGAAGCTGAAATTATTCATTCTTCTTAACAATACATTTCTATCAGCCACCTGAACTTAAGATGCCTGTCTCAACATCACTCCAAATTAAATATTTTAATTATGCTTGTGCAAGCCCTTCCTTCCATCAAAACTGAGTAACTGGCTTTTTCAGTTTATTTCAGCAAGAAAATCTGAAACCATCCCACTACAACTGACCCCAGCTGACCACCCTGCCACTCTCCCTCTTCTTGGGCAGGTTTTTTGTAAGACTCATTGTTCCTTCCAGCCAGATCAAGAACCCAGATGGCCCAGCTGGCTGTATTCGCAGAGGACAACTGGAATAGCCACAGCAGAGTAAATATTCTGCCAAAGTACTCTGGAATAGCTCCTTATGGTAACACCTGTCTCAGAGCCATTACCCTTTTTCGTAACAGTAGCATTTAGCTGAAGTGCTGCTCTGCAGACAGGACTGCCTTTAGCAGTGGCATCTCCCTGCAAGCATTACTGTCTCTTCTCATTGCTTTCCTTTCTTAACCAGTCACCAGCCTCTTTCTGTGACTGCCCTTTTCCCACTTCCAACAGCTGTCCTTTAGAGCTTAAATGTTCCTGACTGGAGATGTTAGCTTAAATCTAATTTAAAGATCTAAAGGCTCCCTTGCATTCGATTTGTAAAGGAGACACTTTATTTCTACTTGATCAGAATGCAGTTATTCTTGATTTGTACTAAGCGATTAAAAGAAAGTATTATTCCCTTTGCTTTTATTTAAAAAATATTTACAGAATCACAGAATCATAGAATGGTTAGGGTTGGAAAGGGCCTTTAGAAAGTATGCCATGGGCATTCCCTTTGGCTCATTGGTCTTGAACACTGCCAGGGATGGAGCATTCACAACCTAAACCTATTCCAGTGCCTAACCACCCTAACAGGAAAGAATTTCCTCCTTATATCCAATCTAAGCTTCCCCTGTTTAAGTTTTAACCCTTTACCCCTTGTCCTATCACTACAGTCCCTAATGAAGAGTCCCTCCCTGGCATCCCTACAGGCCCCCTTCAGATACTGGAAGGCTGCTATGAGGTCTCCACGCAGCCTTCTCTTCTCCAGGCGGAACAGCCCCAACTTCCTCAGCCTCTCTTCATACAGGAGGTGCTCCAGTCCCCTGATCACCCTTGTGGCCCTTCTCTGGACCTGTTCCAACAGTTCCATGTCCTTTTCATGTTGAGGACAGCAGAACTGCACACAATACTCCAGGTAAGATACACAAGACCTTCAGCATTAAGGTTCTTTTCTGTATGGTAAGTTTATACTGTTATACCCTTGCATATTTCTTTCATTTAATGTTTTGATTTGAGAACAATTTTCTTTCTTCACGGTTAATATTTCCAGCAAAAGCAGTTCTCCTGAAGGGTTCATATTTCTGGGACTGGTTCCTTAAACTTGTTTTGTAGCTCATGTCTGGGTCTCAAATCCATGCCCTCTGTCATCTTGCTCCTGACCTCATCAGATTCCTGCTCAGCTCTTCTGTTTCTGTTCTCCTACCTAGAATGAATTGAACGTGAGAGATGAGAGCATTGCTCACACCACTCTGAAAGAAAAGAGTATTGTGATTTTACCTTCTATGAAGGGTAGACAAAAAGTCACTGCTATGTCTGTTTACAAGCAGTTTTCACAAAGGGTTGAAGCCTATCGGGTTAGACTTTAAAACAAACTGAATGAAGCGCGCAGTCTCGAAGTCCTTTAAAGGAAAGAGGACTGCCTGTAAAACATGCTTTTCTAGCAGATAGTTGATAACATATAGGATTGTTTCTACATGTAGGGCAGAGAAAGCCAAGTAGGGCACTGGTCTTTCAAGGAATTTTATGCAGAAGTGTTTCCTCTGCCCTTGTAAAATACGTGAACAAATTCGCTGTTCCATGAAAGCAATCTACATTAATAAAGGCTGTTCAGCACCTGGAATGGAGTTATGACTGACACCCAGGAGCACTGCAGAATCTCTCCAATGACACTCATATCCTATGACCTGTGCATGTCCCTGTTCTCTGCCTTGTTGTGCTACGTCTGCACTACCAGGATGCAGATGGCTGCATTACTTGGCTATGTCTGCACTTCTCATGTTGGCCACCCCTCCAAGTTCGCCACACATTTCTACAGTCTTTCTTATTAGACACATTTTTCTTAGGTCTCAAGCTGTGTTGAACACAAACTGATGTGCTTACCAGGTAAGGTGTGATCTCATTTACAGTACAGAAGCACTTCTTGTGTCTGTATCTCTGAGCTAGTCCACCTGTTGGTAAGACTGTAACAACACCAGCAGACTCCAAATGCCCTCAACAGCTACACATCAGACCTCTACCCCTGCACCTTGCACCCATTAGCCACAAAGATGCTTCTAACTCGGGCCCTAATCCTTCCTCCTTGCTATGTATGCTGTGTGCATGCTACATCCTGCCTAGTCTACAAGACTTTCTTGCTTGACTTTGGCCCTGTCTCATGGCTATGGTGTCTAAAACATATCCAAAAGCTGAAAGACTGTGCTAACCCCCGTGTTTCATCTTGCACACACATGAAGTGAATATGCCATTTGAATACACAGGTGTGTATTCCAGGTCCTTGGTCCTGGAAAAAAGAATCAAGATATGAAGATGTCTTTGTTTGCTTCAAACACTTCCTGGTTTTAGAAGATCTGTGAGAGGAGCTGGGGAAAGTGGTAGTTTGAAAATACCTTCAAATATACTTGAAATACCAGAACGTGATCTGACTTAAAGATTTTTTTTTTTTCTTGTGAAGGATATTTGGATTTATGGTTTAATCCTGTTGCAATTGAGAAGACATTAGGTTCACTGAAGCACCACTTATAACCACCTTCAGAAGTTAGGATTCTCACCTTGATGATAGATGTTTGCATGATATTTAAATAGGACTAATTTTCAACAGTTTAAAGATCAGGTTTCTCAGACCTGAGAGTGATGGCATCTTTGTGTTCTCCGTTCCTTTAGGCCATTGCTCCAGCAATTCTAAGCTCCTCCTGGTGTTACTGTAAATGTATAAAAGGGAACAGTATTTCTACAGCCTAATTTAGTAAAATAAAAACAACAGTCCGTAAGACAGAGAAAAAGCATTTTTCAAGCTTAAGGGCATGCACACTGCAAATCCTTGAAGGTTTCCTGCAAACACACCATGTGGTAGTGCTTCTCATAGAAACAGTTCAAAAATCTTAAAACTGTAGATGTGTGGCTGATGCGCGGATTGACTCCACAACTCACTAGTTGTAAAGTAGGTATGCTTTTTATTCAGCTCTGAGACACACGGGGATAATTCCTCAAAGTCATGCATACTTCAGTGTTGTTTCCCTCTACATTTATTCTCTAAAGTTACACATATTCATAAGGTTGCACAATATGCCTATACATAGTCATGTCCCATCCCCGCTTCGTATTATAATGAGTTAGAAGGTCCTTTGCGCCTGCGCAGTGCCCCCTCTGGTCATGGGCAGGGGTCTCAAGATGAAGTAAATGAGTCTTCCTCCTGTGGGTAGGGGTCTTCAAGATGAAGTAAATGAGTCTTCCTCTTCTTGAACTTTTCACCTTTTAGTCTTCACCTATGGCCTTAGGGTTTGGTCGGTGTCCCAGCCATAAACCACCTGCATCTCCCCCTTCAGGCGTCTGCTTTTCCTTATCAATAGCTGCTAATCAGTAGAATCAGGCCTCTGCTTTTCCTTGCCAATAGAACCAGGTGTCTGCTTTTCCTTATCAATGGTTAGTGCCTTTGTTCTGCTTAGTAGGCATGATAGGTACAGCCAATACTTTTGTTTAAGCAAACAGATTCCTCTAACCCCCCTGTACAACCCCCCTGTACAACCCCCCTGTCCACTGGTTAACCCTGCATATCATGGCAACCTCAGCATAGGGATACGCACCAGGATTCTTAGCCCTGTGCAGTGCTGTTGTCACTGAAACTAAACCAAGAAGAGGGACCTCAGATCCTCTTAACACTGCAAAACAGTGTGGCTGAAGTTCTGTGTTGATATTCGCTTTGTTGGATGAGCTGGTGCAATAATCACTACCTTTAACAGCTCATTCCTCTTTCTTTCACCCTCTGGAGTGTGTCTTGCGTGGGTTGAGCTCACTCAGTTGTCTGTACAATTCCAGTCTCTCAAGCAGATAAACAGAATCTGAGGCCAGGAAGCTGATGCCCTCTCTTCCTGCTGCTGTTCCTATGTCAGCCCTGGAGACAGCTCAGCTGCAGAAAAATTGGACCAGGGACCTGTTCCCACTGTTCCTGTTCTTCCAGCTTTAAGGAAGAATTGTGCTCAGGGGCTAGGACCCGCACAAAGAAATGCATGGAGATAATAGGGTGTTGTAGGATGGAATTTGGGACTGACTTCACAGCACCACAGTCAGACTGGCTCAAACGGGTTGTGAAACTGTGGAGTAAATGGGATATGTGAAATGATCCTTTTCAAAAGCACCTTCAAATTTTCAGCTTGCCTTTTTTTTTTTTGTTTTCCGCACTGACCTACTTTGCAGCAGCTACACAAACAACTGCATCAGCACGCAGAAGGACGTGCTGAGCTGTGGTACAAAGATCTGTCACCACAAAGCAACTGTGGAGGCAGTGAGCTTTTTAACCTGCATTGCTGACAGAGAAAATTTTCATAGCGTTATGTGGCATGACAAAAACCTTGGAAGTTGTCTAGAAGTTGAGCAAAAAAAAAAAAAAATACACACCCTGAAATCTCTGAATGAACGGTTCTCAAAGCACCGCCCATCTCTCTTATGTCTGCAAATCATGTATAAGAAGGATAAAATGAAGCACTCTCTAGGAGTACCTGACTTTTACTTCTGTGTAGCGCATTCCACTTCCGTTGTTGGGCTTTTAAAGTTTATAAGTTTCCAGACCTTCGCATCTTGCACCGGAATTCTGGAGCACATTTTTGCAGTGGGAGCTCAGGCTGACCACTGCAGTGGCTCACCAACAGGCAAGGTCTGCTCTCCAGCAATGTCTCCTGGCATTCAAAACCAGTGCATGGCCTCTAGAACTGACACTGGGCTGCTATCTATTTAATTCAGACATATACATTATTTGAACATAAAGCTATATTTTTCATATATACTTGCACCACCACTGACCAAAGTAACAGCTGATCATAAAAGTTCCTAGATAGCTTTGTACTCAAAGTGTTTGTAACCAACTGGTTTGCATCTCAAAAGAAATATCAAGAGTAAACATTTAGTTTTCAGAAATCCCCTATACTAAAGGATTTTCACTAATTTTGAGTCCCCTAAAAATTTTCCAGGCAAAATGCATCTTTACCTACAGTATTCACTCTGCTTAAAATATTGAACCAGCCAAGGACAACGGGACAGGCTGGTCAATAATCCATTTCACAGACTTGCTTCTTGTTTTTATATTTTGAATGCTGTACTAGTTTAAATGACATTGCTGTTCATGTGTATTGCAGGCTTTTGATTTATTAACACTGTAAATGAGAGCAGCAGTTAACCCCTTGCGCTATTCTGACCCTTGACAAGCAAGCATTCGCCATGCACTGTGCAATGGCAGAAAGGCTGCTTCACAGTTGTAGCAGGGAAGTGTTTCTTTGAAAATGGGAGTCCTCAGATAATAAATTGGAAGGATATATCATCAGAAGCTAAACTCTTGCATTAAAATAAGGCATATTTTACTTTTGTTCAGCTGTCAAACTATGCATTTATTTGCTCCATTATAAACTTGTTCCAGCTTTACATGCCATCAACACATATCCATAAATCGCTGGCAAGCCTGATTTCCAGTTTATGCCAGGTGTATTGATTCGGAGAAAACTCCAGGAACTTGCCAACGGAGTTTCAAGTTGACAAGCAGGTATTCTTTATTGCGGCACCGGGAGACACGGGGGATAGCTCCTCCTAACGTGTGTCCCCGAATTGCTATACAGGTCATCCTTATATGGTTACTGAGCATATTACATCATTTTCCAAAAGGTTTCCGGCATGCATACAAAAATGTGGTGGTCTTTAAGGGTCGTTTACTTTTCCTAACAAGCTTAATTAACATTACAGACATACCAAGCATCCTGGCCTTCTGCTTATCAGTTAGTTTAACTGCTCTCATCCTGGACATCTGCTAGTCCGGGATGCTCCCCATCCCAGGTCCTGTCCTTCTATTCTGCTTTTCTCACACCTTTTGTACTGAGGCCCTGAAACTATGTCAACTACCTTCAAGCACCGCAGTTATTTTCCATTACAAAGCCATCAAACTTAACATTACTTAGAACTGATTACATTTTGTACTTTTGTGCCTCCTTGTCTCAGTATTTACATCCGCTTCCTCACAACACTAAGTTTGTCTTTAGCCGCACGAGAAGTGCTGTCGGCATTTTAAAGACTTCTCCTAGATGAGGTGACAACACGTTTTGTTTAGCCCTGCCCGGTACCAAACCATCCCCCAGTAACTACAGGGGCATCTAAAGCTACCCCTATTTAACGTCAGGGGAGCTAGGTGGCCAGGCTTTGCTTTCCTCGTAAAGCCCGAAGAGCTGCCGTCCCCAGGCTGCAAAACGAAAACTAACCAGCTCCTACGGGCAGTTTTCAGCCCGCGGCTGTCGGCCCAAAGTCAGCGGGTACCGCTGCTCTCCGGCCACTCCCATCCCGGGTCAGATTGCTCTGACCGGGGCCTACAAGGTCGCTGCCAGGCGCTGAGGGGCAGCACCCCGAGCCCCGCAGCCTTCGCCTGAGGTAACGCATGTGACAGGCGGGAGCACACCGCCCCCCCCTCCCTCCCTCCCGCTGCCTGCTCCCCCTCAGGCCGCTAACGGGGCGGAGCTCCCCCGTCAAAGGGGTGACGCGGCGGCGCTGCACGCTCGTGCTTCCCTCGCGCGGCGGCGCTGACGCTTCGGCAGCATGGCGCCCACGGGGCTGGCCGGACCCGACCCGCCGGGTAACGGGCGCGAGCGCCGGGGGGTGGGTGGAGCTGCTGCGTGGGTGCCCGCGTGCGACGGGTGCGTGTGTGTGAGTGTGTGAGTGATGTCGCTGTCCCATCCCTCCGTGCTTCAGGCTGCGGCGGGCAGGGTCCCGCCACGTGCCGCTTGTTGTGGGAGCGGTGGGCGCTGCCGACCGGCGCGTGGGGCCGGCGGGCGCCGCGGTCGCTCCCCTCCCCTCCCCTGCTGCTTGCCAGCCGCTGGGCACACGCCGCAGCCGCGCTCTGGGGCGGTGCTGGTGCGGCGCTGCCAGGGGTTGGCAGCAGTTAGCGTTTGTAAAACCCGCGTGTGGCGGCTCGGCGGGCGTGTGAGCGCGTCACCCAGTGGTGGTGCCGGCGGCGGTGGCGGCGGCGGCGAATAAGGGTGCTTGCTGCAGGAGGCGCGGCCGCCCAGTTGCAGAGCCGGTCCCTTGGAGTAGGCTTCGCTCTGCCTAGGAGGGGTGCGAGGACATTAGTTAAACTGGAAAAATAAAAACCAGCTGCGTGAGAGGCTGCAGCTTGGTATGGGCGGTGCGCCAGTCGCTCCGGGGCTCTAAGCCAAAAGTGCCTTTTTGCAGGTTAAACGCAAGGCGCTGTAAGGGAAGAGAAATAAAATCAGCTGCAAGTTGGCATTGTTGGCGTCTTAAAATAGACAGTTCTGGCAGTGGCTGCTTTCAGTGGTGCTGCTACCTGCAGAGATCTCAAACGCCTTGCTTTTTAGTATTTCTGAGGGAATGCCTGTTGCTGAGCCTGTACTTCAGTCTGGGCTTGCATCCCTCGGTTTATTAAACAGACCTGCAGTCCTCCTCACTGCAGAGCTGTGTAGGGTGCCGACTTCATGATCAGCTTCTGTGGTCTGAGGGTTTTCCACGTTCCTCTGGCAAAGACGACGTTGACCTGCCCTTTCTCCAGTGATATTTAGGGTCAGGCCATGGCTAGTGACTGTCCTGGTGCTGCAGAACTAGGTTTGGGTTGGCTGAGATAGGAAACATGGGAGGGTGTTTCAGCAGCAGCTTGAGAAGTAGTGGCAATGAGAAAAGTTCTGCTTGGATGGAAGCAAAAATTGTGTGGCGGAGGTGTTTCTGGAGCCTTTTGAACAGGCAGAAGGCAGTAGATGGTGGTGTGTACCTCTGGCAGTGATGCAAAGGACCCGTGTTCAGGAGCAGGCTGTCAAGAAGCTGACCGAAGCACTTCTCCCTAGCCTTTCAGCCAGTGGCAGGGCATGCCACAGAGTGAGACCACGTTGGTCCGGTGGCTGGTTTGTTTCCCTGTGGCTTCTGTCTGTAATACATATCAATCTGTTGTGAGCAGTTTAATGCTGGGAGATGGACACTTGTAATTTCAGTGTGCTGCACAGTAGCTTTTTCAATGACAGAGAAACTTGTGTTTGGAACTGGTGGAGGAAATGCCGGTTTGCTGAATTGGAATGTACAAATGTGGGGTGGCTGTGTTGACCATTAGGACAGATCAATCTGGGAAATAAAGGGTTCTGTAAGTGCCTAAAGCTCCTTGTAGTTCTTCAATTTCTATTCTTTCACGTTAATGTAACAAAAATACTGTAATACTGTCACAGCTGGGTTGATCCTTTATTAAAAGCTTTGGAGGCAACTTGCAATCCTTTATTTCCTTCCAAGTACTTGTATACCAGACTGTTTTATACTAAGAATAAAATTCAGAAGTGTCTAAATAATCATAGGATAGCTAGGGTTGGAAAGGGCCTTAAGATCATCTGATTCCAACCCCCCTGCCACGGGCAGGGACACCTCGTAGGCAACACACCTCCCTCGAGACCGGGTCAGCCCGACAAATGCGTGCCTCTGTGCCCTTCAAAGCCGAGTCACCTACTACTGTGACCCGCCGCTTTTTCCGGGAGGCACCGGTAGTGATCCTCTTCGCCGCTGCATCAGCAGGTTGTGCACTTGGTGCGGTGGGCGTTTCCTCGTTAGCCCTCTGCAGAGCTGCAAAGCGGTTTTAGATGGGGACGTCGGAATTTGGAGGAAGCCCCTTGCTTTTAATTGGCCTCTTTTTTATTGTGTTTGTTTCGTTGTTACTAGCTCCCAGCTTCCTGGATTAACACCCTTTTCCTTTTCTGCATGCGCTATGTCGGGCGCTTGTGGTCCCTGCACAGTTTGGGCCTGGAGCAAGCAGTCCAGCTCTCCTGACACCTTTCAGCCTACCCACAACGTCTTGAGGCTCAGCCCCTGCTGCGGTAGGACCTCCACCAGGCCGCACCGAGTGCAGCCCTGCCCATTGTGCACCCTCGCCTCACCAGACCAGTGCAGGCGCTTCCCGCACCCCGAGCTCTGCGCTGCAGCCTCCCCTCTCATCGGCCTTGTCTGTGCCACAGCAGGGCCCGCAGAGCCGGCCCTAACTCCCAAGCCCGGCCAGCTCGCGGTGCCGGCGCCAATTGCCACACCACACCCTGCTCCCGCGCTCCCTGGGGCGGGCTTTAGCCGCTCAGGGCGGGACCGTTTCTCCTGACGCCGCCCCCTGCTCGTCCCTGCTCGCCTGAGCGGCGCTGCCGGCTCCTGGGCAAGGCCTGGCGGGAGCTCGAGGCTCCCTCGGTGGCTCTCGACGCTCAGAACTGAGGCTCCTGGACGCGAGGTTTCCCCTCGCTCCGGGGTTGATGGCGGCCCCTCCGGAGCCTCTCACTTCGGCAAATGACCGAGGTTTTTCACCTTTTGAGATTTTCTTCAGACATCAAAAAAATGTCTTTTTAAGCAAATCATCAGCCTCGATGTCTTGTTTTTTTTCTCATAAAGAAGATGCGTTTATCCCATCAGTTATGCACATACAGCGTTTATGTGGGTTGGGATGGAGAAATATCATCTTGCATTATCCCCTAAGCCGTTTAGTTGCCACATTGTGGAAATGTGAGATTACAGTTGGACAAAGTTTAGAACTGTTAGTGTTAGAATGCCTGTAGGGGTGAATAACTGTACCAGAGAGACACCGAATGCTATGCAGACTTACTTGGAAACATCTGTAAGATGCAGAAGTTGTTGGAGCTGATATAGTTTTTCCTTTCCAGACTAGTAATTCCATTGTTCACATGGTCCCAAGCCCTTGGGGAAGTGAAGTAGGGTATTAGGATTTTTATTCTGTGTTCCATATCCCACTGACTTTTAAGCCACTGCTGCTGGGTCAGTTTTGTTTTCTCTTGGTATGGTCTGCTAAACTAGAACAGTCTGTGGTAATGTGCTTTATGTTTTAAGTTTCTGTAGAGTGTAAACCCAAGGTAATTGGGCCTGAGTCCTGTTATCACTGCCCGTTTCTTATGATTTCTGTTATAGCTATAGAGGCAGTTTTTCTCTGGAGGGGAATCCATTTCCCAAAGTTCACCAGTGATCTTCCTAAAACAAATCTTAATCAATTTCTGGCTGAGCAGAGGTAGAAGTAGGGTTTGTAAACAAAAGACAAAACAAACCAACAAGAGGCTGGCCTGATTTTTTGCTGTTTAGGAATTTCTCCAAACATTTTTTCATTTATTTGATAACTCTTGTGCCCTCTCTGTGCTGGAGAGGGGAATTACGTGAGTTGAAGGCTGAATTAAGATTATGGTACTTGTTTAGCAGAGCTGACTCCCAGCTGCCTGGCTGCTTTTCTCCCAAGGGCAGAGTTCAGCACTTTTTAGTATGGCTTTATAAATTGTAAAGTTTTTTTTCAACTTAATTGATTCCAAGATCATCAAGTGCAACAGATCCCCCAGGGCTGCCAAGTCCACCACTAAACCATGTCACTTAAGGGCCCCATCTGCATGGGTTTTGGACATTTCTAGTGATGGTGATTCCACCACTTTCTTGGGCAGCCTGTTACAATACTTGACTACCCTTCCGG